TAACTGCAAATTTTGGAAAGTTCAATTGCTCTGGTAGGTAGATAACTATGGTTTGAAAGAAAAAAACAAGATATTATACTCTTTTTGTTGAACGCACTTTTCCGAGTAAATAATTATTCCCTTCGGAAAAATGCTTATTAAAGGTCCTTTTTTTTGGAACCCTTCATAGAAATCATATAAAAACTTTTATTTGGGGGTTTGGAGCCATGAAGAACAGTATTATGTGGTCAGTTTTCCTGTAAATAAATATTATATCATGAAAAATGTACCACTTTCCATTTTTATAAAAATGCATGGCACTGTCCAAAATGGTCTTCGTCTCTGAAAAACTGACCATATTGATGGTTATTCATACGGTTCCAAATTCGGTAGGAATCGCACGACTAATAACTGAGATATAGAGGGGAGGGGCGTTTGAAGTGAGACAAGCTGTATGTATGAAACGATACGTTTTCAAGATACATCAGGGTGTTGAAGTTTTATTTTTCTATCATTATTGTTTCGAAACTTATTACAGAAACTTCAACAAATAATCGTTTAACTATATGTAATTACCAAAACTAGTTATTCAAACGTCAAATTAATTACCTAAGCATTCGAGTGAAACATAGAAAATAATGGTATAGTAACTTCAAAATGCATCGATTTTCAAATAATCGACTTGAAATGGGATGAAATTGAAGTCCAGATATTTAGAAAATGGTTGCACATAGCGACTTGTAACAAGCTAACAACGGTAGCATTTTACGTGGACATGATAGAGGGATATTTTTTTCCTCAAAAAAGTTATGAAAATACGCTGTCGTGTAGGGGGCGCCCCTACGAGTAACAGCAATGATAACATCAGGTTCGAACTCGACACCTCAATTAACCTTTCAATATCAATTTTCATTTAAGCATAAGGTCATTATTTCGAAAGTTATTTTGAAAAAATAACGAAAATAAAAAATAAAACTTCAACACCTTGTATCTTGGAAACTTATTTCGATAATTCATATTAATATTGTGAGGAATCTCCAGGGTGACACAGGGTTTCAGGCCACCCCTGTAGCTTCTACATTCGTAAGCAGATTTTTCTTAATTTTGGTGAAATTATATAACCAGCAACCATTTCGGATTTATAATATAGAACTTTATTCAAGAACAGCAACATGAATTTTCCTAACATGTAAAAATGTACAAATAAAAAAGCAAAAGTTCGAAAAAAACGATAAGTACAAAATGTACTTGTTTCGTTGAACGAATATAGATAAAATACAAAAATATACATGGATACATAAAAAGTAGTAGAAAATATACTCACAGAAACGAACATGAATATAGAAAATATACATGGATATACATAAATAATTCTAAATCAATTCAAAAATTGAGAAATATAAAAAAATTGAATTATGGATCTATACATGGCGATAGTACGTAGAGACTTATTTTGCGCAATTTGTAGGATTTTTATTTACTCGAATAGTCGTAGCAGCTGATTTCTTTGACATTGAGGTATGTGTTTCTTCAGTTGTTTTTTGAAGCTGTGAATTACGAAGGCGCTGAAGGGCCACCAATACTTTTTTTTTTGAATCCCGACTTTGAAGTCGGGGGTCCGAGATTAAAGTCGGGGGTCTGAGATTGAAGTCGGGGGTCCGACTTTAAAGTCGGGGGTCCGAGATTAAAGTCGGGGGTCCGAGATTAAAGTCGGGGGTCTGACTTTAAAGTCGGGGGTCCGAGATTAAAGTCGGGGGTCCGACTTTAAAGTCGGGGGTCCGAGATTAAAGTCGGGGGTCCGAGATTAAAGTCGGGGGTCCGACTTTAAAGTCGGGGGTCCGAGATTAAAGTCGGGGGTCCGACTTTAAAGTCGGGGGTCCGAGATTAAAGTCGGGGGTCCGAGATTGAAGTCGGGGGTCCGACTTTAAAGTCGGGGGTCCGAGATTAAAGTCGGGGGTCCGAGATTAAAGTCGGGGGTCCGACTTTAAAGTCGGGGGTCCGAGATTAAAGTCGGGAGTTCGGAACTGAAGTTAGGAGCTAGATTATATTCGTTAAATATATGGACAGAAATAAATAATTTCCATTGTTACTCATCAGTTTGACGTCAGCAACATGCTCCTGAATTTTCTACATGTACTCGAGAAACACCCTGTACATTTATGTACAAACAATAATTTTACATCCATTGGATAATTATCACATAAGGATCAGTCAAAATCCTCCTTTTTGGATGTACACTGAATGTCAAATAATGGATCACACCAGTACGATCATTATCGTACGTATAGGGTGATTGTTTATATTCCACTTAATAGCTGAGAATCTCATTTGTTTGTTCAAAGGGTGCAGAAAGATTACAATACAAAACATATATTTTCACAAATGAACTACCCTGAATGTCATTCCGTCCTTGGGTAGAGCTCAGAAAGATGAGTTCAATGATATATGATTACATTTGTAGGTATGAGTTAACCCTTCCGGACTATTTTCATAATCTTCTTCAATAAATAGCCAAATCTCAAAGCCTTATGAAAACGTTGAGAATCAAGTTTTCAATGCGCAGTTTTCATTATGAATTAACTAATTATACAGGGTGATTCGCGGTGGATGGCATATTAGAAGTATCTGGAGAACTAAAAGACAGAATATTCTGAAAATTAGGATGCTCCGATAAATGAACATTCTCTAGTTAGCAACTTTGTTATTTCAAATGGAACACCCTGTATTTTATTACATTTTCAGATTCTTCCTGAACAGCTGATTTCATCAATGCATCACACTTGGGTTCTAGCAGGAATGATTACAGAGATATAGGGTGTTCAAAATCAGGATTTTTCAATGTTAAGATTTTTTTGTGTCGAAACTATTCATTATCGATCAAAACGGTTCACATGTCCCTATCTTAACTTTCGATTCACTGTCTACTGACATTTAATTGGAACAGATACAGGGTGATCAGAATTCTGAATCTTGAAGCACCCTGTATTTTTGACATTGATGAAATCAGCTCTTCAGGAAGAATCTGAAAATGCAATAAAATACAGGGTATTCCATTAGAAATAACAAAGTTGCTGGTTGTTTCTAATAGAAGTGGCAACACTGTATCGATGAACATATTTTAAACGGATAGAGAATGTTCAATTATCAAAGGATCCCAATTTTCAGAATGTTCTGTCTTTTCGTTCTCCAGATACTTCTAATAGGCCATCCACCGTGGATCACCCTGTATATGTTATATTGATATTTTGTCGATATTAAGGATATTCGAATTAAACGAAAGTGATGACGTATTTTGCTCATTCGTAATCTCGGACCCCCGACTTTAAAGTCGGACCCCCGACTTTAATCTCGGACCCCCGACTTTAATCTCGGACCCCCGACTTTAATCTCGGACCCCCGACTTTAAAGTCGGACCCCGAGTATATTTGAAATAAATCTCATGTTTTGTCATGCAGAATCACCCCCTTGAATTTTTGCGCATAATTTCCGAACACCCTGTATAGGTGGTCATAGGGGATCTACTCGGGGTTCCATTTGAAAAATCAAAAATGAATTCCTGATCAAAATGTGATGTGACTGAATTGATTCATAGATAAGTGACAAGAAATAATTTCTCAGAAGAAAATAAGGTTTCTCTTTATGTGCGACTCATTCATTTATCCATGAGGTGAAAAAAAATTGATTCGAATTTTCTAGAAAAAATGACATTTGACAAAGAGATGCACTTTTGTTTCGATCTGTTGAACTTGAATATGTGATATATACAGGGTGTTCTATTTGAAACGAAGTTGCTGGCATTTCCAGAAAAAAACGAAAATCCGCCATAATGGATTGTATAATAATGTGATCATATCCGAGATGTTGCATTGGAAAACGGAAAATTTCAACGGTGGGTAGATCTTATCAAGGTGGCTCTGTATATAAAATTTGTTTTATATCCGAGATATAAGGTGTTTTATCAATGTTGTTCAATTCCGACATTACTTACGAACCACCCAGTATATTCTTCTGGAATTTGGTACACAATTCCTTTTATTTCTACCCAAGCGACTCCCCTATCAGTCACGAGAAATGTCCAGGTCCGAATTAACGAGAATTGATCATATTTCTGGACCCCAAAAAGAACACCCTGAATTTTCGAATTTTCGAAATCCGCTAACATATTTGGAAAGTGCACAAGAAGCTGAATCGTATGGTGTACTTTCTATTTACCTGCATCTTATTTCACTGAAGAGTTCCTGATTTGAATACGAAGTTTTTTGCATTTGGATAGGCAACAATGGAATGTTTTGAGTTTTCCCAATCGAATAACAACAAAGTTCTCCTTCTTCTACCCAAGCGACTCTCGAAGAAAGTCCAGGTTCGGATTAACGAAAACTGATCATATTCTGAGCCGCAAAAACAACAATTGGTATTTCTGACTTCCTAAAATCCGCTTACATATTTAAAGAATTGACAAAAAGCTGAATCAAATTATGTACTTTTCATCATTTTAATTTTGTTATTCGATTGGGAATACTAAAAAAAATCCATTTTAACCTATATCCAAATAGAAGTGCACCATTCTATTCCAGTTTTTCGTGCATTTTCTGAATATGTAAGCAGATGTTGAAAATTCGAAAAATTTTCTCCTGACTGATAGGTGAGTTTTGAACCAAATTCCAAAAGAATATACTATGTGATTCGTAAGTTATGTCATCAATGGTCATCACAAAGAATTGAACAAAATTGATAAAACATCCTATATCTCGGATATAAGACCCTACATATACGGTATATTCAGGACCACCTTGATAAGCTCTACCCACCAAAAAAGTTTTTTCGTTTCCCAATGGGACACCTTGTTTAACTGTACAAAATTTCAGAAAAATCTATGAAAAATGCAGAAGTTACAGGGGTGGCCCGATACCCTGTGTCAGCCGGTATATCTAACAAAAATGCTGTTCGGGTAAATTTTTCCGAAGATATATCTCTTCTTCAATATGAACACATCTATCTCTCAAATCAGTGAAAAAACTCACCACACCACCATTCAGCTCCTTCGCCAAGAGCACCAAGAAACCAACCACCGCGACTCCAATCATCTCGCCAAAAGTGTAAAAACCACGAAAACCTCAAAAATCGCCGATCGCCGACGTCCGCCAACACTCACTGTCGAAGAAGACGCGACCAAGAGTAAATACGGGTTCACCAGGTCACAATCGGAGAAGGGAATACCGACACCGCGATCACAGAGCTCCGGCTTGGGTGTTTGACACTCCTACGACCTGGTTTCCGATCGAATCGGAGGATGCTCACTCTCGGTGGGATTTGGCGCTGGAAGGTGAGTCGGAGATGAATCAGAGGTTGTGCATGGTGTTCGCGGAACTTTAGAGCGTCACCGGGCAAATTCTGGAGGCCCTGGGGCAGCTCTGCGTTGGTAAAGTACCTCTTTCAATGGAATCCTAATTTGTCGGTACACGGAAAAAAGGAATTGTTGAATTGAGCAAAATTTAATTGAATGAAGCAAATATAAGTGTCGCATATGCACGACAAAATATAATCTTGAAATGATTAAATCTATATCTTGTTTCAGAGCGAATTTGAGGTTTGAATCAAGTAAATATGTCTTGCATGAACTCTGGATCTTATTCAATCAAGCACATCCATGAATTGTTTATGAAGAGTTATTGAATTGGATTCAAAATAACAAGATATTGATTCGATCTAGTATTTAGTTGATTCAATGAAATATTTGGTTGATTCAACGAATTATTTGGTTGATTTAATGAAATATTTTGTTGATCCAATGAAATATTTCGATGATTCAAGAGAAACTGTATTTCCATTCAAGAAATTGTTTTGTTGAACCGAATTCAGTATCGATTCGGGAATTTTCTGAAATTTCACATCAATAGAATAAACTGAACTAGGAAATTAGCCGACTTCTAGCATAGATCGCTAGTCTTAACTTCTCTTCAGCTTATGCAATTATGCAAAACTATATTGGATTGCTAAGCATCCTAAGTTAGATTTATCCAGCTGATATTTCTACCACGAAGAATTCGAGGCAGGCATAGACGAGGCGAAATGATCGCCATCTAGAGGTGAAAATAAAACTTCATGTAGAATGAACGAAATATTTCATTGATATTACATATTTCGTTGCTCTATTCAAGCAAATGATCAGTTCGAAACGAGCTCATTGCAGTATCGGAATAAGAAAACGTGTATGTTGTTTCAAAGATATATTCTCATCAAAATGTTGATTATTTCATCAAATCAACAAAATGGTTATAGTTGAACCAACATCGACATTACTTTGGATCGACATAATTTGTTTTTGAGATAACCATATATTTTGTTCCATGACTTATATATTTTGTTGATGGAATTGATATTATACTGTTGATTTAATTAAACTAAATTCTTGATTTGAACAAGCTGCTTCCATGAAATAATCATGTATCTGTTTGATCCAACAAAAAATTGCTCAGTCCAACAAAAATAATTCAAGCATAAATAATTTGTTGATGCAACAAATCATTTTTTTCCGTGAGTAGTGCTAGCGGTACACCGAAAATATGAGAAAACAACAGCATTTCGTATAGAAAGCAAACCGCTTTGCACTCTTTACCTTTGAAAAGTTGGCGATCTGGCTCTATTTTATAGATATTTTCATGGACGATGTTCTTCTGAAATATCAACAATAGTTCCTCCCTTGGCAGTCCCCGCGAGATTAACCCGTTGAGTTGAGGCTTCGCACCACTTCGTGGTCACTTTGGAGACCTGCAGAACATCTCTTACCAAAGACTCGTTCATCCAACGAACAGCGAGGCTCTGGAACACATTGCCAAGGGAGGTGTTCCCCAAGGCATAAAACCTCCAGAAATTAAAGGAGAACACCAACTCCTACCTTATTTCCCTTGGTTCTCACGATGTTACAGGATATCCGTTTTCGTTAGTACCAGAGTATAAAAAAAATTAACGGTTTGACTCGCAGCACCCAATTTTTTGAGCGTGTTGGTTCGATTTCAGATAAGGGGTTGCACCTCTGAGTTGGTAAAGTACAGTCGTATTCAATAAAAAAGCGTACAAGTATTAAAAAGAGAGGATTTCGGGATCCTAGTTCTAGTTGTGTAAACTGGCTCAGCCAATGCTTTGTGTTTTAGAGGACCTATGACAACTTTACTGTCAACATTTGGTGAACAATCATTCCCGATAACCTGCTTTATGCAGAATAGGATGACGTTAATTTTTCTCTGTAATATACTTGTACGCTTTTTTTTTTGAATGCGACTGTACCTCTTTCAATGGAATCTAAATTTTTCGATAGTAGTGCTAGCGATACACCGAAAATATCAGGAGACAACCGCATTTCGTATAGAAAGCAAGCCGCTTTGCACACTTGACCCTTATACCCCAATGAACGGTTTGACTCGCAGCACCCAATTTTTTGAGCGTGTTGGTTCGATTTCAGGGGGTAAGGGCGTTGCACCTCTGAGTTGGTAAAGTACCTCTCTCAATGGAATCCTCATTTTTCGATAGTAGTGCTAGCGGTACACCGAAAATATCAGAAAACAACCGCATTTCGTATAGGAAGCAAACTGCTTGGCACACTTGACCTTTATACCCAAATGAACGGTTTGACTCGCAGCACCAAATTTTTTGAGCGTGTTGGTTCGATATCAGTAATTCTAAAACAAAATGAAGCTACAAAAGTGATCCAGATGTCGATTCCATATGAAATTGCCCTGATAAATCTGATGGTGACTTCCTTTCAGCTCTCAGATAACCGGAAGTGATTCAAAAAGCTGCCATTTTGGAGATTGGCAGCCGGTATGGTGCCATTGACATGCTCGCATTATTCGAGCCATGTGAGGTAAACATTTACATGTTTCAGGGGTTTCCGAATATGAATTTGCCTACGAAATTATTCGAAGGTGACTTTTAGATGAAAAACAAACACGAAGTGAGGTGTGAAAGTATGTAAGTATTGTAAAAATCACATTATAAAAAGGAGTTTCTTACTGAAATAGTCCTCTTGATCTATAAGATGCATTTTCCAATCTATAGCATAACCTAAATTGTTAGAGAGCCGCCATCTTGTATCATCAACTACCCAACTTATCAACTACCCAACTTATCAACTACCCAACTTATCAACGACCCAACTCATCAACGACCCAACTCATCATCGACCCAATATATGGCCTAAGGTAGCAAAATTGATTTAGAGATTAAATTAGACATCCCTAAAAACACAACCATTATTGTCCTACGGACATTCTTCTTGGGAAATGTAGGTTATATTTCTTACATTTTACTACCTGATACTTAACTCATATATGATAATGCAAATAAGCATTCGATGGGACATAGAATAATTTATACAGTGATATTTTTTTGTGAATAATTCAGAAATGTGAATTTCATTTCATTTTCACTGTTTGAAGTTATATGTAATGGAATAACGCAACGAATACGACATGGAAAGATAATCTATGAACTACAAAGTTTCCATATACCAGTCCTGCATGATTATTCAGAATGAATCACGTGATACCAACTCCGGCTTTCGAAAAAACATCATTGAAAGAATAATTTGTTATCCTGAATCTTGCTGAATCAGTACACCAGTGTTTACAGTGAGCAGACGTTACGCTAATCTAAAAATACACTAATCCCAATAATAGTTGTTCATTATACAAGGGAAAAAGTATTAGATTTTAAATTCTTGAATATTATTAATCATCAACCTATTATCTACCGAATTATAAGGTATAAACAGTTTGCATATAATAATCCAATGAATAAATTATACAAAATTTTAAAATCACAAAATCCTGTTTCTCCGTTCTACATGCATTCATTATTTCTCATGGAAAATCGTTTCGAGGTATGTCCACAGGCACCTCTGGCCCCGAGTATAGGAAAATTATCAGTTCAGTAGTAATAAATTTCAAAGTTGATGATTTGGCTGGTTGACGAGTTGAACCGTTGATGAGTTGGGTCGTTAATGACTTGGGTCGTTGATGAGTTGGGTCGTTGATGACTTGTGTCGTTGATGAGATGGGTCGTTGGTGAGTTGGGTCGTTGATGAGATGTGTCGTTGGTGAGTTGTGTCGTTTATGAGTTGCCTCGTTGATGAGTTGGGTCGTTGATGAGTTGGGTCGTTGATGAGTTGGGTCGTTGATGAGTTGTGTCGTTGCTAAGTTGTGTCTTCGGTGAGGTGGGTCGTTGATGAGATGTGTCGTTGATGAGTTGTGTCGTTTATGAGTTGCCTCGTTGATGAGTTGGGTCGTTGATGAGTTGGCTCGTTGATGGGTTGGGTCGTTGGTGAGTTGGAACGTTGATGGATCGAGTCGTTGTTGAGTTAGTCCGTTGATGAATTGGGTGTTGATGAAATATAGGTACGTTGATGAGTTGATTCGTTGATGAGCTGAATCGTTAACCAGTTGGGTCATTAACAAATCGGGTGTTGATGAAATGGATACGTTGATGAATTTGGCCATAGTTAAGTTGGGTATTGATGAAAAGGGCGCGTTGATGAGTTGCATGGGTCGTTGAACGATTCGATCGATGATAAGTTGGGTATTGATGGATTTGGTGTGTTGATGAGTTGGGTCGTTGATCAGTTGGGATCTAGGTGAGTTGGGTGTTGATGATTGGAATACACTTTAAATGAATCTGGTCGTTGAAGAGTTGGCATGATGGTGGTGAGTTGGATATTGGTGAAATGGGAGCGTCGATGAGTTGGGTCGTTGCCGAAGTTGGAGTTGATGAAACGGGTGTGTTGATGAGTTGGGTCGTTGATAGGTTGGGTTTTGATCAAATGGGTGTGTTGATGAGTTGAATATTTTTGAAGTGAGAGTTGGTGAGTTGTCTGTTGATGAGCTGAGGTCAACCCAGTCTTCCCAAGTATGTCCCTCAGTCGTCCCTAGTGTTTCCCGTGTCCAGACAAGTGAGTAATGGTATACCTATATAAGGGAGGACTTTCAGTAATACCCGGTACAAACTAGAACGTAATGGTTTTGGCGGCCAGCGGATGTGGGTGGGCCGTCCCTTATCAATTATTTATCAATCATTTATTCGGAACAGGTCAGTAATGATTAATTAAACTATTGATTGAATTATCGAAACAAAGGAAATCTCCGCAAATAACAATATTATAATATTAACAACACACAACCGAAGGTTAGATTGGAGATGGAGATGAATCAGAGTTCAGGGTTTGCGGAATTTTGGAGAATTGCTATGGGCATTTTTGTGTGTCATCATTTGTTCTACAGAGAAAACATATTCGACGAGTATAAT